CCGAAGCCCTCCCTTGGTTGCAGCAGCCCAGCTCCCAAACCCTCAGCCTTTCCTCAGCCTGTCCTCGCCTGCTCAGCGGTGGTAACGCTGCTGCGGCCACGTGCAAGCACAATGCTGAGCAAGCAATGTATTCTTATCGCTCTTAATAAGGTGACTGGCTGGACGGACAGCTTAAAACAAAACAATAGTATTGAAAAACACAGAAAATTTGTTTCTCCTATGACTGCCTGCAGGTGTAGTTCAAGAGCAGCTCTGGTCCCCTGCTTTCAGGATGGCCACTTGCCTAAAACCTCACGTCCCTTCATGCTGCGTTTTGAGGCGTGCAGAACACCAACGGGAGGCTTATCCCCGCACACCGGCCGAGCAGTGCCTGGTGGTGGGAATCCTGTCCTGCTGCTCCAGGGAAGGGTTTCAAAATACGTCTTTAAATCCTGAGATTTGAGATCCCAATTCAACCCTTCCTTGGATTTGCGTTCAACTCCCATGTTGCCCTTGAAAGCAAAACCCAGCCTCCTGAACCCAGTTATTTCAGAGAGCAGGGACCGATTACTGTCTCTGGGATAATATTTGTTTTAATCAGCTGGTGTGATACACACAGAAGTCAAACAAAACCAGTGGAGTTGTACAGCTGTGAAGTCAAGCTCTTATCCCTTACTATGTTGCAAACCAAGCGACAGTCATTCGGTCTCGGTCGCATTGTACTGTCCCGTGTGCTGTCTCCTCGTGTGCTGGTGTAAGGGCGTGAAGCACGGTAAGCCTGTACCATTGTAGAGTTGTAAATGTGAAGCTGGCTGTACAATGCTGCTACAATAGCCACATGTCAGTAGTGAATGTAAATGGAGTCTGTAATATGGTGAAAATGGACACGTTTTCTTTTCAAATGTGATGTAAACTTTGTACAGTAAAAGAATTTTTTTTATATTTTCTATCAACTGAGTGTCTTCCAGAATTGCTATTAAATTAATTAAAAATTGTTAGTATTAATAACAGTTTCTGTATTAGTTTATGCAACCAGCAAAAAAAAAAAAAAAGACAAAGTGCACTCTATGCTAATAAAATTCTGGGTATGTAGGAATCTCTTCAGTGAATAAATCTTTGCTCTGGATAAAGCAAGCATTACAGAATTGTGGTTTGAGCTTTTTCTCCCCGTTGCCTTGTACCTTCCTGCCCTGCCAAGCCCTGTGGAGGTGGGTGGCAGCCAGGGCCGGGGCTGGGTGAGCCCTGGAGGTCCCCGCGCTGTCCCGTGAGCCCAACGCTGAGCCCTGCCCCAGCAAGGCAGGCTGGCCATGGAGCCAAGGGGCACCCCCAGCCCCTGTCCCACCTGAAGCCCCCTGACCCTTGTCCTTGTGAGCTCGGCTAAGCAACAAACACCCCGGCTTTGGGACACCCCATTCCCCAGCGTGATCCCCGGTGGGCTATGGGGTAACGTGCTGGCTGCCGGGAGGTGGGCACCCTGAGCACACCGCTCCCTGCAGCAGGACTGACAAACCTTCCTTTCCTGGTGTTACTGTAACCCTCCAAAACCCCAGCCAGGGAAAAGTACAAAACAGTGTTAGAGCCTATGAGGGCAAGGGCTACAGAGAGGAGCACTACGTGGTGAGCTGCGATAAGTTATCCTGTGAGCTGAGACAGGAGAGCCTGCAAAGCATCGCACAGACCGTGCCCTCCTCAGTTTCACTTTCTGGAGGAATTGACCCAAAAGCCCTGCTGTGTGTGGGGCGGGAAGCAGCAGAAGCAGCGTTTGCACCGTTGGGGTTACGCTCCCATCAACCAGGAAGAAAGAAGTGCTGGGCAGGCTCCCTGCAGGCTGTGGCGGCAGTGGTGCTGCCTGCTGTCCATGTGCACCCCGACCTTTTCCCCCTCTGGAGCTCCCGGCCTCAGCCCTGGCTCGCTGGGGGAAGCGGCAGTGCCAGGGACACCTGCCCTGCTCGGGGCTGGGCACGGCAATGCGTTAATTACTCCCTGGGCCGTTGTGCTGCTGCCAAACAGCTTTACACCAAAAATAACGGCAGCATTGCCCTGTCCTGCTGGGAGAAGGCCCGCACGTTTTAGGAGCACAATTTCACGTTTCATCCACTTTATCCAGATCTTTCATGTGCAAGCAGTAAAAATCCAAGAATCTGTTTTCTCTGAAGGACAACAAAAGCTTCCTCCCCTTCTTTTTTTTCTGACGTAACCCACACTCTCACCTCAACAAAGACAAATTCGAGCACAGAGACCGCTTGTGGCTCCACACAGCTGCAGTGGAGCCTTCCAATGCCTTCGAAACCTCAGCACCAGAGGGGAGCCTTTTAGCAGTGCTGCTGCTCGATCCTGGCTATTCAACGCCTCGCAGTGCAGATAAAACATCTCGGCGCAAACAAGGCCATGGTGGCTTATTCAGAAAGGGCACCAAATAACTGCCCACAGGGCATAAATAGATCGAGCTACAGATGAAGTGACTGGAGCAGGACCTAGGAGAGCTGGACACACCACCTTCACGCTCAGAGCTCAGCCTGTTCCCACACACAACAGGCAAGAGTTCAGCCCTCACCCTGCACCCAGCCCTGGCTGCCCAGCAGGGTTACTGGAGCAGAGGAGCTCCTTTGCACTCCTGAGCACACATTCAGAGAAGGGAACCTCTCTACACAGTTATAAAACAATGCAACGATTGAAAACAAAGCAAAAACCACATTTTGCCTACCTGAAGTCACTCCTCCTTCCTTGCACTGGGGTTTGTCAGCACAGCCTGCACCTCAACACTGTGCCAGCCATCTTCTTCCACTGCTCTGCCCCATGGGGCTCAGCTGTTCCTCGTTATCCTGCTTGGCAGTAGCTCATCAGTCACACCTGGCTGTCCTCCTGAGCCCCACGCCCCTGCAGCATGCAGAACAGCATGGCAAAAACTCTGTCAGGCTGGGCAGCCACTTAAACTGAAGGCACTGAAGTTATCCCAGCATTTACCCTAATGCTAGGCTTGGACTTCTGTTAGCTTTCAGCTATACAATAATGTGCTAATGGATCCCATCCACATATCACTGCTTTTGCATTTAGGAAATGCATTCGTATGGCAGAGCCCTACAGATTTATGGGGTATAGGGAAGCAAATGGTGTATCTGTACTGCAAGCCCAGTGACATACCAAACTGGCATGAGGACTGGCACTTTCAGTTTAGCTGGACCAACCTGTGGATTTGGGAAGCCGGGGAACTCTGCCAACAATCAAAAGTGGCTAGAGGACTGCAGGAAGAAAAAGGTCTGCATTTCAGTGCCATGGCATTCACCCTTTTTTGAATACTGAATACCATTAAAGCTGCCTAAGGTGGGCATTAATGTAACAGCCCGCTAATTGCTTCAGAAAGTGTTGATCTGTAATTTCTAGTTAGGTCTGAAATCGGTGAGATGCATAATCATCTCCCTAACTTATAGCCCTGAACAATTCCTCTGCTTCTAGCAGAATTACTTAAGTGCTTAAACTAATGCACGTGCTTCAATCTGTTACTGACTTGGGGCTGTAATGAACACTTTAATAACTGCAGAGCAGGCTTTTTGATCATATTTGGGATTTTAAAATATGTATTTTGTATCTGGTTTCTTAAATGAAGTTTCAGTTCTTGTGTTGGAATAGAATAATTATCCACTGACCTTAACATCTGCACTTTATCTTCCCCCTTTATTCCCCATTTATTAAAAAAAAGCAATTATACACAGCTTCAAACCAGTGCTGTAATTGAAGTTAACTTACAATTGGGCCGGTTTAAATAAATTCACAGAGTTGAAACAGATCTCTATTTTTATTCTTATTTTTAATCCTTTCCCTTAACTGCCTTAGAACCTGTCTTTTAGGGGGAGATTTCTGCAATGGTGGAATTAAGATGAAAAAGTCCCCAAGTAAAACTTGCTTCATCAACTTAGAATTTATCAATGGGAAGTCATGCAATTTCGGAACCAATACACAAACACTTGGGTCTCTTGCTCTGACCTGTCAGAGGTTTATGGGAATTTCCCCCTCTCCGAATGAAAGTGAAATATGGGCAAGCATTTGTAAAGTATTATGGTAATACTTAAAAGTAAGTGATTACGCAGAAGAAAAACATGAGATGTAAAGAAAGGATCCTAGCAAGAAAATGTACCTATTTTGTTATGTGCGTGAAAAATGGGTTGCACTGTAATGTACCTCCCAAAACAGCAAGGAACACATCGGACTTTTAAAATGCAGAACTTTTGTTTCCTGCCTTTGTGGCGTTTGAACTCCAGCACTCAGTGAGACCTGGGCTTATTGAGAACTTTCTTAATGGAAAGTGAAATTGCCTTGTTCTACTTCCATCCCACCCCAAAACTGTAGTATCAGAGAACATCTGTTAAATGAAATATGAAATAACACTCACAGTATATACTAGATGCCCATCAGGACCCCATACTTGCTATGAACCTCCTCTGTCCTTTACTGTCTGTATCTGCTGTCTGATACTTCCTGTTCTCTGCCATCACTGTCCACATTCTTTCAATTATGCTGTATTTTTCATCTTATGTTTAAGGCTGTCCTGAAGTACATGTGAAACACTGTATGTACATGACATTGTTGACTTCTGAGTGTCAGCTTCATCAGATTCTAGCTCCTGGAGACAAAGGATGACAGGAAAATCTCACCTTTAGCTTTTTAATATCATCATAAAACCCTGGTAATTTTAGAGAAAGAACTATAAGTTGTGACATAACTGCAAGGCACAGACAGAGACAAAGTCAAAAACCACAGCAAAATACATTGCTCTAATTGTTATTTTATACTCTTTAGTTCACAAGCCAATCTCACTAGGGACAGATTCACTCTTTCCAGGCAGTAACAAAAATATGTAACTAGTCTTTGGTGGTCTGTGTAATTCACGGAGACGGGCTCTTTGTGTAAGGAGGGAGTGCTGGTCGGAGCTCAAACCCACTCTAATGGTACCCAAGAACTTACCCACCTCCCCTTTTTCAGGCTGAAGACAATAGCACAAAGAAGTACATTTAAACTACACCAACTTGTTTGTCTCAACATAAAGGTGTCTTTTATTGCAAACAAATCAAGTAAGTCAGAGCAAACAATTCAAATGTACAAAGTGCTTTGGAATTTTCTGAGTCTCACTGGCACAGGCCCTGTGACAACGACAATTCAGGTTGATACATCTGAATCGCATAAAGCAGAAATCAAAACTGCTACGTCCTCATGTGGATACATCTGAAGTGTATGCAGCAGGTATTTCCACTTATGAGCCATTATATTATTACCACATTTGCAAGTACTGCTTCAGATTCAACAAGAGGTGTCACTAGATATTTCCAAGTGACACAACCATTCATTTTCTTGCTTTAAAGTGAACATAAAACAGTAAAACAATATAAATAAATCCACACAGATAAATAGTCCATTTAAAAACAAATAAAAAAAATTACTTCTAGTTCATAGTAAAAACCACTCTATTTTCCTCGTGAGCAGGTTTTATATTTTTTATATTTACAAAAGACAGTAGATGTGTACTAGCCTAGACAGAATTAAAAAAATATTTTTCATCTTCACTATTCAGATAATTAAAAGAAGTCCCAGAATAAATAGAAAAAAAAAAAAGTTATATTTCATATTTTTCTTACTTAAGGCTAAGATTTAGAAGTCAAATCCTACAGTCAGATATGTGTGTGTTATTTAACATGAATAAGGAAGAGAATTTGACCCCTTGATCTTTGAAAATAACATCAAATGTGCAATTATGGTTTAAGATGTCTGTTAATTTGTGCTTGGACTGATGGGTTGCAAAGCTTTTACATCTCTTTTGACTTCATGTGGGAACACAGCCCCAAATATATCTTCATGGTAACGTTTTTGGCTCTGCAAAAATAAAAACAAAAACAAAACACCAAGAGATAAATTAAATCCTGCTAGCACCTCTTTATGTAACAGTTGATTAACTAAAAGGTTTTTTGCATTATGACCAATTCTGTGATGGCAGACTTTTGCTGTCAATAAAAAGAAGTTATCCAAATGTCAGCCACACATGCTTCAGGACAAGTTCTGCTAACAAAATGGACCTAAAAAGTCAGCATACTCAGGCACTGTGTTTTCAGCAACTGCCTCATCAACTTCTTAAACTCACATTCCTCCTTTGATACAATAAAGTCTCAAGCTTTTGATGTTCCAGATACATGTCTCATGTATCTCCAGATACAAAGCTCATGTCCAGGGTCCAAAGACAGACACTGGGCAAAATGGTGGGCATATGAGAGAGGAACGTGACATGTCACCCATACAACTTAACCAAAGAGAAGCTACGCATTTTAAATAATGGTGGTTAGACTAAACTTAAGCTATTTTCTTTAGCATGTTGTTGAAAAGAAGCTCGTTGCAGCCTGTTAGATCTCGAGTGTAACTCTGAAGTCTTCTCTAACCCACATGAGAGCACTGTCTGAATGGAAAGAATCCCTTGCACACCACAACATACCTTCAGCTCGAAGAAATACTCTTCTGCCTGCTGCTCTGTGAGGTTCAGTTTTTTTACAAGTATCCCTTTCAAAGTCTGAGCAACATCCCTGGCCATGCGTACATCTCCACAGACATACAGATGTCCATCCTCTTTATGCAAGAGATTGCACACTTTGGCTTCCAACTTGTTTTGAAGAATGTCTTGAACATAGACCTTAGAAAAAGAAAAAAGGATCATCAGACAAGGTCTTTTTGATGCTACTTTGGCTATTGGCTTTTCTAAATTCAATTTGGGCTTACACAGCAGAGTAAGGTTAAAAATGCCCTAACTATTCCATGTACTGTACCACAGCAAAGGAGAAGAAAAATGTCTTCGTGCTGTCTTTACAAGCCCCAGATTTGAAGGCTGGACTTGTTTTTTGATTAAACTAGAGCAGATTAAGACTCTTTTCCTTAGAACTAATTATCACTGCCAAGGTAGGAGAACTATTGTCTCCTCCAATCAAGATTTCTTATAAACAACAGTAATTTCCAGGGTCACTGTGTCATTGAAATGGTGACAAATGATCGGAGTCAACTCATTTCTAACTCATGGGTTAATCATAACCTGCAAAATGTAAGGTTTCCAAAAATGTTCCAACATCTAGTTTCAAAGGCTGTTTGCACTCAAAGGTTTAATTATATGTCTATTGCACCTATTGATATGGCAGTGAAGGTTTTAAAAATACATCTTGCTCCTACATAAGTGAATAGTGAGATTGTTTTGAAGGAGTGGGGCCTTTGTCACTCGATCACAATACGCTGAAGCAAAACGCTAACAGTTTTGTTGTTGCTTGTTTTAAAAAAGAAAATTGCTAATAAAGCCCAAATCTCAACTTGAGGGACCATTCCCAAAGGAGCCAACCCTTAAAGAACAAAGAAACCAGCCTTACTTTAGCTTGGCCAGGTTGCCTGGAGTAAGCTGTAAAAACTTCTTTCAGAACTCCTTTCCTCTTCATTTCTTCTGTTTCTTCTCTGTAGATATGATCCATGTCTGGCTGCCGGCAGCCAAACAATAATGTCATGTCACCACCTTTGATCCCTGAAACCAACATCGGAAAGGTTTTTTTGTCTTTCCTAGTAAGACCTATTATTTCCTATTACCGTCCCCATAGAGGGCCCTGCTGTCACAGCAACTAGTGAGGCAATGCAACTGTTATTTCTGATTAGCCTTTCTCACTAAACATCTGAGAAGGAGTATGCGTGTGTGTGTGTGTGCACACCTGACAGATTATGATTTTAGGGTCTGCAGTAGGATTGAATCTACCTGAATCTTTGAAGAACTACGTGGAATTACCTATTGAAGCACATTCCCCAACCAGGCTAACACAGACAGGCCTAAGCTTTCTTCTTTGCATTGCAGCCCCTTTGTGAGAGCAGGGCAGTCACTGCACATACAGTATTTACTCAGACACACATAAGCTGTTCCCTCTGAGTGACCAAAAAGCTCAAGACCACCAGAATGGTCTCAAGTGGGATAGAATTATTAGCTGTAGTGTTTAGTCGGTCTAAATCTCTACATGGTTTACTTGGCTAATGTGCAGAGATTTTGTTTGGACAACTAGGGATGTCCCCTGTGGCTGCATGAGTTCCGACCTCCCCCATGTGGCAATCCCTGTAAGTACCTTTCTTTTCCAAGTCATAGAGACGTTGCTGCCAGAAACTTCTGAATGGAGCAATTCCTGTTCCTGGGCCGATCAGAATGCAGGGCTTGGTTGGCTCCTTTGGGAGCTGGAATCCGTTACCACTAACATGCAAAAATATGATAAATAAGTAAAGTAAAACTCAGAATAGAACTATTGCTACAAAGCTGACAGAATGATACCTAGTGATCATCTCTGGTGTCCTGAATCTTCTCTTCTTATGCTTAAATATATGAGGATAAACTTATCTTGAAACAGTGAAGAATCAGACTATTTTTTCAGGTATATGATGAATATTAACACTGATAAGTACCCAGTGATGTAAGAGAATAAATATCAATGCTTTTGTGGAAACACCAGTTGTCTTAAGCCCTTACCCAAAGTCACAAGGTAGAAAAAAGTACATGATCACCTCCTTCTGTTGTCCCCTCCCTCATCTCTAACCTGTCTAGTTGGAATAGTGTCACATTTTCAGAATTTTCTAATGATTTATGATTTTACTCAACATAAGACATGGTAAAGGGCCTCATCTCTGGAAGACAGAGGTTCTCGCTCCTCACAAACTCAGATATTGCAACATGTAATCAGCAGTTACTTGAAAATCATATGCAAACATTGAAAAGAAAATACCGAAGAAGCTTAAATAAAAATTGGTGGGTTTTGTTTGTTTGTTTGTTTGTTTGTTCTGGCATACACTCACCTGCGCACAAAGCATGGCACTACTTCATTGAGACTTATTTTATTCAGCCATGTGCTGCAAACTCCATGATGCAAAGGCCCTTGTCCATCTAATCAGAGGAAAGGAAAATCAATAAGTAAGTATTCAAAAGCTGTTTTTCAAAAAGCACAGTTTATGCTTAAAATGATTTATACTTAAAATTATCTAGTAATTGTGTATAAAACAAGGATACACTGATGATACAGTACTTTAACATACCCTGATACAGTACAAACATCTGTACTGCTATGTAGTTTTCTGCATGTATCACAATATAAACGTTCTGTTACAGATACGCTTCATGCCATATAGCATACACATTTTTTTCTGAACAACAATACAGACTAAGTATCACTTAATTAAGAGAGAAATTAAAACAAGAATTTGTTACCTCTTGTCCTGTAATTGACTACTGCAACTGTCAGATGAATCTCTCTGGGCGTCATGTCACAGGAAGAACTGACAGAATAGTACCTGGGTTTCAGAAACGGCAGCTGAGTCAACAAGAAAGCTGTTGAGACTTCAGCAGAAGGAAACTCTTCCAGGACCTCCAGGATGTTTGGGCTGTTGTAAAACTTCCATTTATTGTATTCTTCTGTGTTCTAAAAGCCAAAGGCCACCATTACAATGTTACCAGGTCATTTTGAGTTCAGGAGAGATGTTTGAAATATAACTTTTAAAGTACGATTCCTGCTTTACATTCAATTAAATAAGCAGTAAACAGCAAATCAACAGAGAATTCTCAAAACTCTGCCTAGACTGGGGTTTCCTAAAAAGTTGTTTAATTTTTGTAAACAGAAATACCCGCTATAATTTTTCTAACACATAAGCTCTCAGAGAGAGGATGTATAAACTCAAGCAGAATCTGTTTCGCAGTCCTCTGCTACAGGATATACACCAAAATGTGTAGGCTCAGGTCCTGATACCTACTGAGTTCTTGCTGAACCCACTAGGAGAAGCAAGCACCTACCACAACTGTGAGTCTTTGGTTACTTAAAGTGACATCCCTCTTACTTCCATGGTTCCAAATTCTGTGACAAAAGTATCTAACAGTTCCCCTCCAACCTTTCCACCTGCAAACTGCTTATTTTTAACTGAAAGATTTTTTTTAATGGTGTATCATCAGAAACCACAATGGGGCTGCCAAGCGAAACAGGCAGGCAAAATGACCCACCCACAACCACACAGGAAATCTCTCTCAATTCCCACGCCCGAGTCGAGCCACAAGACCATCGTTTCTCTCACTGCGGTTGGTTTTATAAGCACACAGAACATGTAACAAAGGGATGACAATCAAGTACCACTACTACAAACATTTATAGTTTCCGCTATATAGTAAAAGGGCACGGAATGGCCCAGTATACGGTACTTTTAGCATAACTCCAGCCCAAACTTACATGACATAGAACTTCCAGTCTCTGTTTGTCTCCTTCTGCTGTTACCAGCTGGGAAATCTTTTTTAGCAGTTGTTGGGAGGGTGGAGTAGTGATATCAAGCAAATATGTCAAAGCTTGGGAGAGTGTGCAGGCTGGAATCTTTTTGTCACTTGTCCAGTAGCCACCTGGAAACAAGGGAAATAAAAGATCGCTTGGCAATTCCCAAGGCATTTGACAGCTGTAGAGCTTTGCAAAACAGTGTTCTTTAAAGTATGACTTCAGATTAGGTTGCACACAGGTCTCGACCACAGGACCTTACTGAAAATAGGTTAATGTGAGGTTTCAAGTTTTTTGTAACTGGCGAATCTAATGTATAAAACCATATGATAACAAAACGCCATATTTAAACAAAAGAAAAATGGAAATCATCTGTATGTGTGTCAGAATCCCATGATTTCATAGACTGAAGCTATTAAGATGGAAAAAATGGTCATGAGATATAAATCTATTTTAGAACACTGATACGTAACAACAATAAGCAAACTCTGTTGACTAATTTAAATGCAGTCGATAGCCAATTTAGGAACTGAATTACAGTGTCAGCCTAAGATAACTCTGCCAACATTGACAACATTACCATGGACTGCATGAGAATGTAAAAGCAGAACGTAGAATTAGAAGTATACCTAAAACCATCAACAAAAACCTATTGAAACTTAAGAAGAGGATAACAGAATCAAATTCAGCCTATAAAAATTCTTAGAAATTTTAGAAAAAACTGTCAAATATTTTCTGTTACTTTATCTGAAGGGAACCAACATACCTTCAGTGCAGGTTTCAAGTCTGACAGTCTGATCAGCTGGAGGGGCATCCTTAACACGTGAAATGAGGCCATGGACCAGTTCTGGCTGGTTGCCTGGGAAAATCCCAATATGTTCTCCGGGCAGGTAGCGCACTTCCTGATTAGTCTCACAGGAAAGCTTAACTAGAATGGTAACGCGACTAGATATAGAAAAAAGAGATCAGATAGATCTTGGTTACGTCGACAGGATTTCCCTTGAATTATACAGAAAAGGAATAAATCAGAACTGACAATTGCCAAGGGCTTACTTGTGTTCATTATCAAATTATCAGACCAGCTTAGTAATTCATGGAGACTTAAATAACAGCCTAGAGATGTGAAGTGATTCTACCAGAACAAATAAGACGCTGAAGTGCTGCCTGATCTGTCCAGTATAGAACAAGTCTGCCTGTAATCAGCCAATGGAAGGAAGCATAGCTTACTGAAAACTGAATACAGCTCACATCTTAAACCATCTCAGAGTACATCCTATACTTTATTTAGAACAGGGATAAAAGAGACTTACTGAAGGATGTTGAAGAGCCACTCATGGACACTATTTTTAAGACAGATGTTGGCACTATTATATTGTCTTGTTTCAGCTTGCTTTGTAGTACAACTGAAAGCAGCAGCTTCTTGCACTATAACATTTCCTTTTTTTTTTTTTTTCCCTTTGCTAACGGTCAAGTTTTTCCTAAATGAAGTAAGTATTTGCCCAACATGTAGCATACCAAGCAAGGGAGAAGGACCACACATCTGACCTTCCACATGTAGTAGGCATCAAAGGGCTATTTTCACCAAGTTATATTGATCCCTGCACTCCCAGAGAGTCCACTGGGAAGTCAGTTACTAACTAATTAGAAGCTAAGTCCCTAGGTATTGTTGTGCTCTGGTGATAATGATTTACTTCTACTAAGGATGGTACAAAATTCAAATACATTTCTTAGTAACTACAGGGAGGAGATGCTTATTTCTAGGCATTTCTGTTGTTAAAGATTTTAGTAAAATGTATTAAAATATCAAAAAGAATGAGGTATCATACCTGGATTTTAAACTCTGAAGATTCTGTCTGAATTTCAGCTTCATGGGAATTACATCCTTTCCATGAATGTTTGTAAGTGCTGTTGAGAAAAGAAGATATGACTCAAGAAAAATTTTGTGACTAGGTTTGTTTAATATGTATTCAAAAAATACACAGAAAAGAACTGAATAGTGCTTGTCCTAGAATGCAAGATACTTTTAGTCAGTCGTGTCCTCTGTGTATGCCTTCCCTGACTAAAGTAGTTCATTTCAGCTCTTGTTCTTCTGGGATTGTCAAAATGTATGCTAGCTCTGGTGTTCTAATGTGTTTACGCTGGAAGACATAATGATTTATTCAGTGTAAATCGATGTCTTTTTCCTTCTGATCACTGTATTTCATTATACAAATTCTATCATCTAGCACTGTAGTGGGACCATTATAAATCTCAGTCAGCCTTTACAATTCAGACCTATTTGAAGCAAAATTGACAGAGGAAGTGGAAGGTCGCAGGTAATACCTTTAGCCAAGTCCATGGTTTGAGACTCATGCAGTATCCTGTATTTCTTAGGATTCCAGATTTCATCTGAGGTATACATCTTAGGCAACTGAATACTGTTTTTCCCACGGATGTTAAAAATGTCACAGGCAGTCTAGAAAAAAAGAATAAAATATCACTATTAATGGTAAATAAATATTCTTACTGTTGTCAGTTTGCTGGTGTTATCTTTATTTCAATAATAACGATGACACCAGGATGAGGAGTTAGTGTTAATTATGTTTTTATTTAATCCTAGTGGGGAGACTCCAGTTTCACTCACTGTTGTTATTTATTCAGTCTGTTGAGCTCAGTGATGTTATAGAAGTTCAACAAGGTTCCACTTCTACACCAATACAGATAAAAAAATGATCTACTTAACAAAATTGTGAGGTCTACTCATACTGGACATCCCATTATCCCAAAGGCTTTATGGAACTTTATGTGAATATTAAAAAATAACAGAAAATGGGCCCAGTTTCCTCTTCAACTTAAGCATGCAGCAGAAGAGAGGGGAGTTCAAAATTCAGATATAAATGCATGTTTATTTTCCTTCATTATTCCCCATTTTTCTGGGATGCTAGTGAAGACTGGAATAAAGGAAATGAATGATTGAATGGAATAATCCATAAATTAGCTTTTATATAGTCACCTTGAATGCACTGACTGCCCATGTGCGAAAGGCTTCTTCTTGCCCATTGAGTTCATCTCCTTCACCTATTGGAATGAGCTGTGAAGCCCCTAGTTGGGCCAGTTTTTGGTCAATGGCATGAGCAAAGGCACAGAATTCAGGATACATGGTAGATCCCAAACCAAACACGGCATATCTGCAGAATGAGATACAAATAAGATCACTGTTTTACACTGAATGAAATGCAAAAGAACTCAATTGTATGCGAACCAAATAACAAAATATTTTACCTAATTTTCTTTTCCAGCAATTTCAGGGTGAGCAAGGAGTTCTTCAATGTCTGTATAAAAATTCATAAAATATTTAAGGTTAGAAAAACACTCTTTGATGGATTTAAAACAGAAGTGAGTCCCTGATCCATTTCTTACTCACGTACATGGGAAAAATGAAATGTTATCTTTGAAACACAAAATATCCTGAATTGGAAAGGACACACAAGGATCACCGAGTCCAACTACTTACTCCAAATGGGGCTACTTAACAAGTAAACCACACATCTAAGATTGTTGCCTAAATGATTCTTGAACTCTAGGATACTTGACGCCATGATCACTTCCCTGGGGAGCCTGTTGCAGTGCCTGACCACTCTCTCGGAGAAAAACTTTTTCTCAATATTCAGTCTGAACTTCCCCTGATGCAGCTTCACACTGTTCCCTTAGATCCTATCACTTGTGACCAGGGAGAATAGATGAGCGTCTCAGTGCTGATCTCAGTAGTCTTTGAGTTGAGCCTCATAGATGCTTCTGAGGCAAGTATTACCTTTCCATTATTTGGAGAATCTCCATTTCCAAAAGTGCTAGTAACCACTAAAAGAAGCGTTTCTTTTTCCAGGTCACTGATGTTGTATTCATCCATGCACAGAATCTGGAATGTATAAAGCTCATGAGAAATTGCTAGCAGACATAAGGACTAGCGTTAGATATCTGTGATTGTCAGGTGTGACCAAATTTACAAGCATTATTCCATATGAATAAAAAATCAAAATCTAGTCCAACTTACTTTTAGTGGACATTCTATAAACAGGATTAGAGAATGAAGAATCTTGCAAAAGCTAATAAAACTAAGCAAACTTCATCCTCCATTTGGTGTGAGTGCTCTATACTTTCTTACCTTAGTGTTGAAGGCACAGCTGAACAAGCTGCACAGATTGTTGGCTAGTGTTTCAGATTTCCCAGTCTCTGTTGCATAGATCACAGTGACCTTGGACCTTGTTGCCATTGCTTTTTGCATGAGTGAAGATGCAAAGAGTACAGCCCTGAGGGAAAAAAAAAAATACATATCATGTTGGATATACCTATATAGTACTTCAGATTGATTCCCAAACAATTTCCTAGATAAGGCTCATATTGAGCATGGCTTTTGCTTGGAAGCTTGTTTAGGAGAAATACACTATAGATAGCCCTGAATAAGAACCTTAGATGTGAGTATTACCTAAATGTGGAGATGTAAGTCTGTGATTCAAACAATTCAGGTGGTCCCTACTGTAATAATTATCCAAAAAATGTATAACAGAATCATCAGGAAAAAAAGAATAGTTGAACAAAATCATGAAGATGAACAACTTACTTTGCCAAGACACTCAATTTTATTTCTCTTTTCATTGGCCTCTGAGACTCATCATGCCAGATGTGTGTTTTCCATGCATCCACCTAGGAAAGGAAATTAATTTACAGGTAAAATGCAAAACAACAAATATACAGTTTCTGTATCTTTGAAAGAGACAGACTTATCAGAATCTGTATATATGATTCACTGTCTGTACAAATACTGGATCAGTCTCTAGCAGTAAATTACATTTGACTTGCAACTTAGGAATCCAACAAAACTAACCCTACCTTTCACAGTATAATAGAAATTTCCTGCTATTTTATGAATCTTTCTAGCGAACTTTCATTTGCATATACCATGACTAAGAGTGGTATGAGGAACAGGAGCTTTTTATTCAGACTTTTCCATGTTTCATATTAGCATCTGAACTGCTGAAGTTATCTAATAGAATTTTTATTTCTATTTTTTGACAATGCATACCTGGTAGTAAAAGAAGGGAGTGAGGACATAGTTCAACATCTCCTGGTGGAACACGGGAGTTATGCTCCCTGACATAGGAGGTACAATCCACACCCAGTCAGCGGGGCAGCCTCCTCGCACACGGTACTCATTCTGCATATATTTCATGAAGGATTCAGCAGCTGAGTGGTGATCCATGATAGTAACGTTTTGTTTCTAGAATAATTGCAAAAAGACAGATATATTGAAAATCCCATCCTGATTTTGTTCTTGACGTAGTTAAAGTACTCTTTTTGCTTTGGTTAATATTTCAGGACTTTATGCAATGCTGGGAAATAGTATTGGCTACTATTACATAAAGATCTAGGTGGACCTTGGACAAAGGACTCTTACTAAGTCCTATTTATTTATTTATTTATTTGTTTGTTTTTTTACATCAGCTTTTTACCACTCCAGCATTAGGAGAATGAAAAACCTTCGATTCAGTTTTCCTGTCTTTCATATTACCATGATATTTTAAATAAACCGTAAATGCAAATGAAATAAATTAATCCAGTGGCTTTACATAGATGTTGACACTTAGACATCTGTGCTAAAAGGGTGAACAATCTTGCCCTTAACTTCCTTTTCTTTTTCTCTCCCTTTTGCCTCCACCTGAGATTTTTTTTTTTTTTGCAACAACAGGAAATATGGTTTCCTGCGCTTTTCCAGGTGTAGATGAAGAATGACTCAATTGGAATTACACTGATAACCTCCTGTACACTGAGTGTACCCTGGCAATATATTTGCATAAAGCTGTTGTAAGTGAAAGGAAAAAGAGATGCACGTTATTCTATGTCTCTCCAGATACCAGACTCGTTGACTTACTTGGAAGCTATAAAGCACAGCCACATTTATCTCTACAACAGCTCGGTCTTTCCATAGTGATGAAAGTTTGTTTGTTTCCAGTCCCATTCTTCTTCCTACCTCCTACAAGTGAAAAAGAGAGAGAAAAGGGGAAAAAAAAACTTTTTATGCTAGACTTAGATCTCATAATTTCTCCACCTCATCATATTAATATGCAGAAAAGAATATTACAGAAAGGGGCAAGTCAATCCTATGCCAGGAAAAGTGATGGTAGTACACACTTGATACTAGAGGTAAGCTTTATTAAGAAGTTATGGTTCTTGAAGCTATTCCAGTTTGGGGAAGTGGAGGGAGGGCTCTCTGGGACTAAATGGTTAGAAAGTGGCAGCATCTGGTTGTAAGTAATCATCATTAATTTGTAGTGGCAAGATGCCCAAGACCTGCAGCTAACAACTAGGATCCCACTGCCTTATCAACAGCAGACTGGAACTAACAAATACATCTCTGAGAAATGTACAGTTAAAGACCAAAAGTCCTGAATCAGCAGTATTCAAGTTAAAAATGGGGAAGAAAATTGCTTTAGGACAGCAATTTCTGTATTTTTTTGGTGGTGTGGTTTCTCCTTTCTGGATAGGTATTTGGAACAGATACAGCAGAACACCGCAAAAGCAATCATGCAATCTGGCAGTCATAATCCTGACAGCAATTAAAGATGTCCTTAACAGTCAGGAGACTACGTCAAATTAGCACTGATGTGTTAGTGGGAAGTCAATACAACACTCATCCCAGTAAAGGCTGATAGTGTCTCTTTTTTCAGAAACATTTCACCCGCTGAGTCTATCTTCTCAGATCTCCACAATCCTTCTACTTCAGAAGATTACCTTCAGGATATTGTACCGCTGCACATCACAGAAGTCTCGCACTCCTATCTCTGTCCCCATGTACCAGCCATTGAAAGGACACGCAGTAAATTCCAGGCCTCCCACCTCAAGGAGCATGTTGGCAACAGCAGGCAGCGCGTACCATTTCAGATCTAACTCCTTAAACCATTCATACCTGTTAAACAAGAATTTTGATTTATTACTTTATGTATCTTTTCCTCCTTTAGGCAGCAACCAGAAAAGTCCAAGAAGTGGAAGAGTACTCTCTGTAGGGAGAATGACCCATCTGCAAAAGGTGGTAGCAAAGTTTTCATTTTCAATGTGGTAACTGGGAATTGCCTGCTAAAGAGATTGCAAAACAGTATAACAGAGTTCTGCTACCTGCAGGCCACTCCCAGTGCAAAGATGAAGAAAGAAACAAAGACAAAAAGGCAGTAGATATTATGTTATGAGTGAAGCTATGTTTCACATGTGTATTACACTGGCATAAGAAGCTATGTTTTTTTAATTTGGGATATGAGTGAAATAGAGATTAGAAAAAAAAAAAAGATTTCCAACAGAAATGCTATTGGCTTCCTTAATTTAAATCTAATTTCATTGTTTTAACAGGCATTTTATCTTTTAGGACAATTTACCATAATTTCATCCTAATAAAGAACTCATAAAATGACAGCCACAGGCAAAGGCTAATAACTTGCTAAGGTGAGGCAGAGGCAAAAATGCAATTATCTAAATCTGGTGTGCTTACTTTGGATGCTCCATTGGCACTTCAAGGATAATTTCTGGCGGGAATTCAAATATTTCTGGATCTTGGCCGTTTGCTTGGAGAATGAGTGGAACTACATCAAAGCGGCCATATTTCGGCTTCCACCCAAGATCAATGCACAACTGTAAGTAAAGAAAGTGGGTTTCATTTTCTGAAGTCCCTCCGCCCCCGGATTTGAAGAAAAGAAGTATGTTAACCCTCTGAGGTAAATTCTCAGTGGTAAAGGTCTTTTCCATTCAAACAGCACCAAGACATGTTGTTCAAGTACAGATTGTGTACCTCACTTAAGGCGAGCTTTAGCTCTCCTTGTTCTGAGATAGAGGGGAGTATTTTATTGGAAAGTTAGAAATTATTGCTTCAGCATGCACCTAGAACATGTGGGGTTGGATACCCCATTTGCTTCTTCCACCCACGCTTCCCTCCCACTCTGCATAAACATGCAAGAAAAATAAATGAAATACAGATAGGTTAGGGGACATGGAAATTAGTTACAATTCTGCATTTGGAGCTATACCTTTGTGAACTCCACACTTGCAGGGTCTCCTAGGACAGACCCATCTGGCATTTGATATCCAGCATATCGGATGAGCTGGCTGTTCCAAACACGGAAATCATGCTTCCCATCAGTCCTCTGTGGGAAGATAGTGATGGCTGACCTGCCAAGAGAGATGATCAAATCCCATTACATAACAGCAGCACATCAAACACATTCTCATTATTAAGATATAAATTGTTGCCAGCTGAAATTATTTTATATTTCTAAAATAAACATCAGTAGAAATAAAATCATCCATTCTTTTCCATCCACCTCCCCAAATCTTCAAATAATCTTTTTTTCCCCAGGATGAAAGTTTTTGCAATTTCAACCATAAAAGCTTTAACTTTCAAAGTAGTTGATGGTGCATATGAGAGGACCATGTGAATACCAGAAGACTTAAGAGCAGAGACAAGTTGTCAAAATATTTATATAGATTATTTCAGGCCTATTGTGAAGTTTTGAATGCAGACCTGGATGTGATATTTGTTGTTTAAAATTCAAATGAAATAGAGGCATACCTTATGTTTCCATTGTTTGTTGCATACTGAACATGACGACAGATATGCTCAAACATTTCCTTGGCTGTTTTACAGTCACGTGCATCGAATACCTATATGTTTCCCAAATAAAGGTGAAGAAAAGAAAATGATTTTGAAAGAGTAATGTAAGCTTATTATTTCTCTAACACAGCTACAGAAAGGAAAGATTAAGTAAAACACTTTAAGGATAAAAGGAAAAAAAAGGAAAAAGGAAAAGATTAAGTAAAACATGAAAAATGAACAATTTCTCAATTTAATTGTAGCTCCACTAGGGAAAGTTTATTTTTACTCTTCTTATATGTACTATTTTCACACATAATAATCCCTCAAGGTCCAAGACATGCACATGGTTCCATGTCTTAATTGGTTCCTAACTAGCATTCCTACACAGGCTTTTATTCAAGTATGGAGTAGAGAAGTACAAAAAAATGTTGATTTTTACAATATGTACAGGAGGGAGAAGTCCTTAGCTGAAGCAACTGGCAAATTTTACCAAAGGACATTCTGATTTACAGCAGACAGCTATTTGGGCCTTAATTTCTAGACTCATAGGTTACCTGTAGATTGGACCACTGGATTCTCCCAATACATCTCGGAGCATTCCTCCAGGCCTGTTTGGCAGCAAAGATCAGTTCATCCTGTGTCAGATGGTAGGTTCCTGTTGTTTCTATCTCTTTGGTCACTGCTTCCAGTCGGGCCAGGTGTTCTTCTATTTTTGACCTGTTGAACAGGAAACAGCCATGAAAAGAAACAATAAGAATATCATTACTTAGAAAACTAATTTAAACTGCAGACTCTCCTTGTGTTCTGGGTGAAGAAGAGCCCAGGCATTACTGAAGCCAGAAAGCCTTAGAGTACAAGCCATGCTTTTGCAAGAGACTTCCATTTTCACTGATGATTTTATCTGCCTGGATGTAGGTAGAGCCCATTTCCAGTGACGGGATGGGTATCTATGTTGATTGGGATATGGCAAGTTTGGATATACACTGAGAAATCTGTCCTTGTTATAAATCTACACTGTCTGAATATGAATCAAGAAGCCAAAAAATACTCTATCATTTATGAAAGCATCCATTACCTCAAAAAGTCAGCAATTTCACTGTGTTTCAAGTGTGAAAAGTTACCATCATCTGCTCCCTATGTCCTCTGCTGCACCACATTTTTGTTCCCAAAGCATAGCTGTTATCTACTGCAATAGTCCAGGGTCTGAGATTTTTACCAAAAAAGACCCTAAAAGGATGACTTAAGTACATATGACTGTGACTGAGGTCTAATGAGGAGTATTTTTCTTGGCTTCATAATTTAGGAACTGGCCTTACTGGGTGCAAATGACAGAGCTTACTAGCCTTATGTTACTAATGAAAGTAACATAATAGAAACTTCAGTAACAACACTGTCCTTTCACCACCCAGTATGTACATGGATTGATCAAAAGCTTTTCTGTGCAAATTTTCAGTTTAAATTTAAAATTTCTACATTAGCTTGGTAAAAAGTGTCAAAACACAAGCAAATAAAATTTAGAGAACAGGTTAGCTTCAGCCTAACTGCACTCTCAAAGTTCTATTATTTTCACAGGGACATAGGTCTTCTGAGCAAAGTAAGTTGATACCAAAAAGGAAGTGCTGAGCAGTTCCTTTGTCAGGGAAACCAACTCTAAAATTCTTTCGTTTGATAATAGAGAATGAAGTCAAAACATTTGGAAATACTTATCACAGAACAGACAAAAATTGTTTTGTTGACCTACAGACAGAATGAAAATAGCCTGCACTGTCTGAGAATTTTCACATTTTCAACAAGATGAAAGATCAAGGGCAAGCATATAAGATAGTGTAAATCAATGTGATCAAACAGCCATGGGCAGAACCAGAGAGATGCACAAATACAATACTCTGGCACGTGAGCACAGCCTGTGTGTAAGATCAGGATTTTCAGAAAGATTTGTCTGGAAGAAAGCTTTGTAGAAGAGTTCAAAGTGTCTAAAGAAGAAGCCATTATGTGGCTGAGTCCCTTTGAAAATTCAATAATGTTTTATAATGAAATGAGCAAGCACTGAATTATGATTTGAAAGCCTGTCACTTGAAAACTTTGTCACTGCAAATTCTTGGACCTAAACCAGATGTTCCAGCTTTTCCTGTGACAGCTCTCTGCACCATCTCCATATCTGCAAAAACACAAACCTATTCTGAAGCTACAGCATCTCTCTCAGCATGCTCAGAAAGCTTATGTTGACGATATCACAAAGCAAGGTTGAGAAGCAAGTCAGTGTTCTTCTACCCTGTGGCCAAAGCCTTGAGATACAAAACATACAATAAAAGAACACAGAGAAAAGATGATTGGAACAGCACAAACTAAAAGCATTATCCACGTTATCTATATGTCTAAAACCAGTATGAGTAGGAGCTAATCTCATTAGCATCCAATGTTAAGAAAACAGAAGGTAACATTCTGAAAGAGTCCAAAGCAAGCTGCTTGCTATGATGTACTATAATGCAACACACTCAGAAGAGATAGGGCTGAGGAATGTGCTGTAAAGTGTCCACGCCTGTATTCCCCAGCACTGAGATTGGCAGACAGAGCGTATGATGTGCAGTAATAGATCTGTTTGCGTTTTGTAATAATCCATATCCATTTTTGGAATGCATACTATGTAATGGAATAGCTGCCAATAGCTGTGAAGAAATCAAGTAGCCGAGTCTCACAGACAGGTAGGTAGTTAGGCAGAGGATTTTTATACCAAAAATGAGGATAAAGTTGGCTTACTCTTTAAATGAACTGTAGTACTGCTTGACAAAGTCTATTGCCTGAGGTAAAAGCTCTGCCTGAGGAACTGGCCCATCTCTAGTGCCCCTCACCAAGCCCTTTGGGGTCATAAGTGCCCCTTGGCATGCTTTGGTGCGGCAATTGATAACCTGGAAAACAATAAAATGTTAAAAGCAATGTTGCACTATGGATCTTTTCAAAGGTATGAAAAATCACTGCCCACGTTTATGCATCTTACCTCCTTTGCTGTCAGGTGTAGTGTGTCAAGAAAGCTGGATCCATTTTCCAAGTTTCTTACTTTTACATGTCTTGGACATCTTGATATTTGGTTTGAAGCTTTGATACCATTTTCTGGGGGTTTCTGGACAAGGGAAGGATAAAAATACATACTGTCTTTGGACCTACTGAATATCTTAATGCTTGAATTTTATTTTTATTTGACCGCTGGATGCTAAAAATTAAATACAATGAACTAGGCAGAAATGTGATCTTTTCTAACATAAGTACATTCACTTGATTACAAAACTATTGATCCGATCCACGGTTTGATATGAAATAGCCAAAAAGTTAAGTATTTTTGTACTAATCAAACAATATTTGCCTCTGCAAACACCTTTTCAATTTCATTAAGGCCTCTTAACACAACAGTCATAGTCTCAGGAAAACAGTGATTCAAACAAAATTAGAGAAAGGACATGTTTGTTACTAAAGGCTAGGTTTTAGGTGTAAAGGCAAATAAAGGAGTTTGGCACTCCAATCCATGTCCTTGGTATCTCTTTCCTTTAAGGCTTACCAAAGCATCATTTTATTCAGAAAAGATCTTTCATCCAAAGATCTCACAGCAGTCCTAACCTCTTGTAACCACAGTGACTCCTTGTATGAGTCCTCTGAGAAGTTTCGAGCAGTAAATACAACCTGTGTGAACTGTCAGTATCAGTCAATGAAGCTAAACAGAGCTCTCTCCCACCACTGACCTCTGCTGAAGTTACGATAGGCAGCTTCTCTTTCTGCTTCTTGATTAGATCGTGCAATTTGGCATCATCTTTCACTAAGCTTTAAAAGAGACAAAGACAATTCAGTATAAGGTAACATACTTAGTTTTTATTTGTTAGGTTATCCTGTAGCATCAGTAAATTGATGCTCAGAGTTGTCCCTTAAAGTGGCACTGAGTCAATAAGCCAAACATCCTCAGCAGCATGAGGGATGGAGTGGACTAGAAGTCAATAATAAAACAACAAACATCCTTTCCACATCTCTATGTGGGAAGGAAAGCAATGGAGAGGGCCCAGAATGGTAAAGGTTGAGTAGCATTGCTGTAAGCTAAGCAGAGGACATCTGTATGATCATGATCTGACCAGAAAATACTCAGAGGAATTAAAGAGGGTGAAAGCTTCAGAGAAACTCTCTGAAAATGTGTGAAAATTTCAGAAAGCTCAAGTCTCCAGCTCACTAAGCAAATATTATTTTATATTAATTTCCCTTGTTTTCAATATTAACCCTGACTTTCTGCACTCCCATTTTTGAATTTGGATACTGGTAGCCAAATTTCAGGAGGTGTTCATAAACACCCAAGAGACATCCAGCCCATGACCTCCAAACCCCTTAGTTCAGAGAGTTATATGTTACAGGTTTTATCTTGACAAGAGTATGTGATCACCCATTTTCACTTCCAAAATAAGTTGGTTTCACTTAACTTCACATTTGAACATGAACTGCTTTGAGCAATGGTAGCAAAGGGTAGGGTATAAGCAGAGAAATAAACTATATGCATTAGAGAACTGACATAAGCAGAAGACTGAAATCTGGGAAAAGTAATATGCATGTACAATTTATTTTATTCAGTGCCATGTATGAATTGTATCACAGAAATACTTTATCAACTTAAATTCTTTACTAATTTTTATTGTATGCATATGCCTCTTAAGTCCCAGCATACATGTAACCATTAGAGTACACTAAATAAATTTAGAAGTTTGAAAGATAAACCATGATGATTTGTTTCCTCAATAATTGTGTAACTTAGACACAATAGCTGAAATGTATCTCACTAAGTCAACACCACCCAGTGACCCCCAGGGACAACTGTTCTTTTGTTAAAATTACTGCAGTGGAAACACACTACTAGTTTCTCCAGATCCCCATGTTAGTTAATATCTTTACATTTCAAACAAAAGAGAAACTATGAAACCATTAAAGGACAACGATCTTACCCATTGATCTTCATATCTTTCTCCACGTTATTATTGATATCCGTCACTTTGGAGGACCGGTTCTTAGCAGCATGAGGTTTGAATGCAAACTGCCATGGGCACAGCATTTTTATACCTTATTTACAATTTTACTTCGCACTGCTGAAATCTTGTTTTGAGTGATGTTGGAACACTTCTGAGAGGAGGAAAAAAAACAAGGTCAGTTTTTACTAAGAAGGTAACTCCCTTTAAAAGGATGCAAAAACTCAGAAGACTAACAGATTTGGCCTAATAACTTCCTGTGTTAGAAATGAGAATTACTTGACGCAGAGTAATGACACACTGACAAGGAGAAGTGTTTATTTTAGTAACGCCACAACCATGCTTTATTCTAAACTAGAGGGAAGGGGATTTCAAATGTCTCCCAGTTGCATAAATAGCCAATAACTGTATCTCTGAAAAACACATGCAGGCTCAACTTCTCCAAAAGACACTTTGAAATTTGTATTTTTTAAGTTCTTTGTTTTTCAATAGTTAAATGTTTTTGTTTGTTTGTTTGTTTTGTTTTTGTTTTTTAATTCTCATCATTACATTTTTGCAAGGAAAACGGATGTAGAATTTTGCTGGTTTATTCACACAATAATGATTCTCATCAGAAAAAAAAAATATGATTTGTTATTAAACCAGAGCATTTGCAATATATTCAGCTGCCTGAGCCAAATGGAATTGTGAGATCCCAAATTCTGTATTTTGTAATATATATATGTACATAGCATATATTTGAATATTGATTTTATATATTTCTTATATAAATGTTAGATTTTATTGTTATTCATTTTAACATAGATTTTCTGCTAATTTCTGATAAAGGATATTCTTGTGCCAGGAAGAAGACAGAAAACTTGTGTGACAAGGAGAAAGAGAGCAAACTAGAAAATGGCTAGGTAAAGCAGAATTAGCCTCAAAGTTTGTATGTGTATCATAACAGTCATAAAGTGGTCTACAAGGATGCTGTCTGCTGTAAAATCACACAGGAAAAGAAATGAATGCAACTATCTGTGCAGGAGCTGTAATGTGTTAAAACTTGTGTGTTACACCAGTAAAAGAAAGAGTGCGTAATAAGCATTTCTTAACAGTTAAAAAGCAGAAACAAATCTAGACCACTATCCTGAAATGAAAAATGATGCAATATGAGTGCTTATTATTATAAAGCATACTGTATATTATTGTATAGCATGCATAAATGAAGAGAGAAGGAAAGGAGAAGTAGAGAGAAAGAAAGGGGGGAAGAGGGGAAGTAATAAAGTAAGCAAAAAGGAAGAATATAGAAAATAGAAAATCAGGAGGAAAAGAGAAAGAGGAAAAGAAAGGACAAAACAGTAAAAGAAAATCGTGCAAGAGATAACAGAGAGAGGAGAAAGAGAAAAGAGGGAAAGAGAAAGAAAAAAAATAAAAGAGAAGGAAGAGTCATTTTCCATTCACTGGCAATTAGAGCAATAACTTGCTTGCTTGTTACACTTTCACAAGAGGTGTTCAAATGAGGGAACAAATATTCAAAGAATATTTATAATGTTTAGTGTTACATGCACAAACCTTTAAAGACAGCTGGAAGGGGGATAAAGTTTTCAGAACAACAGGATAGCTTAGAAATGAGAGAGGAAACTGATTCCAACACTTTGCTCCTAGTAAGGAAAAAATAGTTTGCCATACAATTATTTTCCTTTGCAAGCTGCAGTAAATGAATAGTCAATTGAACAATTACACAGTGTTGTCTTACCGTGTCTTTGTGAGAGAGTTTTCCAAATCTGCAAGGAGATGGTCTTCTGTATGGAAGTTGCTTCCCTTTAATCTCTCCTGCTCCACACCCGTCCTGTGAGGCACAAGCATTTTATACTCCAGGGCTATGTATGCAAAACAGCAGTAAGACTACACATGGACAGTGGACAGAAGGGGAATCCCTAAAGGCCCCAATTTCTTTCAGCGTGGGAGGGTGTGTTGCTGATGTCCTGCTACTGAATTACATAACCTGCAGTGACTGGAGGCAGAGCTGTGACTAATTGCTGGTGTTGGAAGCATCCCTTCCTGTAGTGTGCTGCACTTTTGCTTCCTACAAGTGCTCAGTGATAAGGGCAATAGATCACAGTGAGCAGTTTTTACAGTCTTGCAGGCAATGTCAAAATGCAAAAAAAGAATGCTCTTGAGTTAACTGAAGTTCCTGAAATGAAGGAACTCTTACCAACAGACCAGTGGGTGCATTCCACACTCAGCCAGGGGCTGCAGAAAGCCTGAGTCTGTGACTTTCATAAAGAATGTTATAGAAACTGGACAGAACCAGAGAGCTCTACGGAGCTCGTTTAAACAGGTGCTTATAAATAAACACAGGTATTTTAACATGGAATTACACATAATAATGTAATATTTCCTAATTTTTGATACCATTTTAAATAACCCTTCTCAGTATAGCATTTGTAGAATTGTTTCCTCTCCAAACTTCCCTATCGGAGCTATTGCTGCCTGTGAGGCTTGCTCTTTTGTGCTTTTCCAACACATTAGACAAACTGGAAGGAAACTGCAACTCCCTGGAAGTGTAAATTATTCACATAACTTATGTGTAAATGCCAGAAGGACAAATAAATGATGAAGATGGGACTATTGAGCTGATTATAAAATTTAGACAAAATGTGGATCTAAATATAGCACAAAGTTATGTTTCTACTTGAGATCTACTTGTTCCTTCTTGAGGCCACAGGCAACCAGGAGCCAACAGTGGCACGCAGAACAAAGTGCTCCCAGGCAACTGCAGGCTCAGAAATACTGTGGTGTGCCAGTACGGCCTCAAGGATTTTAGCCTGAGCTGTTTGTTCATGAGCATTACGTATGACCAAATAACACTGTGTTGAAGAAACATTTTAGATCTGTTTTCAAATTACAATGACAAAGAGAGAAAGATTTACAAGTGCTAATCAAGGATCTGTAGATCTGCACAGGGCTATAAGAGAAACACAGAATCCCAGGTTCTCTTTCATTTGTCACTTTTCTACTGGACAAGATTAGGCATGACACTTTTTTTTCCTGTATCTCAGTTTGTCTATTTAAAAATGAACATTATGTGCCTTTGTAAAGTACTCTTAGATGCAGATTTATGAGTACGGGTTTGTGCATGAATACACCCGTATATATATATCACAACCAGGATTGCTACAGAAGAATCTCTTGAAAAATGGACCTGAGTTTTCTGCAGTTTGAGCATTCACCTGCTTGACTGTATCGTGCTTGTGCCTCTTTGCACTCACTGCTCGTCAATATTCCATACAGCTGTAAATGCAGTTTTATTGTTTGATTGCTTTGTTTTGTTTTTATTAACTGTATCTTACTAGTCAAACTGAAAGTGTCTGAAGTGAAAGAAACTTGAGAAATCAAAAAACAAGGTTACACCCATCTTGGCATTTGCTGTTTTGTCAATGTTTAAAAATTGTTTCAGTCCTTCCCCTTCTTCTAAATTCTGACCTCCCTTTTCTATAGATCACATGGAATCTTAACATAGTACTTTAAAAAAGGGCAGATTGAGATTTAAATGAATTCAGTGATGCTCAATTATTTCTTGGCTTTCATTACTCACCATCCCCACTTCCCCTTTCTTTGAGACTGCTAAGAACAAGGAAAGGTTACATAGGGATTAGGTACGAAAGATCAGATTTGGAATGACCAGAAGAGGAGAAACATCTTCTTTCCTCATAAGCACTGTTTATGGGATTGGCAGAGACACAGCCATTCAGCAAACCGCTTAATCACACCAGTTTTTCAAAAAGGATCTGCTCTTTTACTCACCCAAATCAATGACAAATCACTATTACAAGAACAAGAGAGCACCATTCATTTCTTAGGTGGAGTTAGAGATTAGCTAAACAAGCTCACCGTGCACTCCTTCCACAAATATCCTACTCTGCATGGAGAGTTCCTCCTTTAGAAAACCTGTTCACACTTCTGCTTCTACCATATTAAAACACAAGAACTGGTTGCTTTTCTTGCATTACCTTTGACAAAAGTGGTGTCCTTCCAGAGCAAAATGTTTGACCTATTCAATGGCATTTGAAGCATGCAGCAATTTTGAATCATTTTTTTTTTTCTGCAAACACAAGCAGAACTATGGTTTGTAGCCTCAACAATAGGCTTTCTTCAGTTTCATTCGAAATCAAGTCACATTCTTTGTCTGACCGCAATATTCTGCATGAGCTCAAGAAGCTGTAAGGAGGTATGCTTGGAAGGTTGCTCCTCCAAGATGCTGCAAACTTGCGCCCTAAATAAACTACTACACTGAGGGGATGCTGATGATAACAAATGTTTATTTTCCTAACTTCATGTAACCCCACAGAAAAGATTTTCAGTTGTCCCAGCTCACCTTAAATCACTAGGGATTCTCTTCTGATGTTCTTTACCTATCTAATCCAAGACGTCCCTCTGATGGTCTCCCAGAAGTGTTCTGTACCATATCACAACCTAGACACGTAACACTGCAGCCACCTGTCACTTTGGGAGATCTGACTTCAAGTGCTCCACCTCTGACAGGTGGAAGTTCTCTATTTGCATTTACAAACTGCTAGCTCTGTCCTTTATGCTTTTCCTTTTCCTGAGGAAACATGCACTTTGCTTCCCGCTTTTCCCCTTTTGCCCTCTTCTGTGGCTGACCAGGAAATTGGTGCTGAGAGCACCGGTAACACAGAAGAGTTAGGAAAGGGTTGCAAAGGACCCCCACGTGACACCTGGTCCGTCTCCCAGCCCTGTCTGCAGGATACCTGTAAACAAGGTAGTTCTGAACCACCAGAAAACACATACAGGTCAGTATGAGGGGCAAAACTCACGGGAAAAAACAAACACACACCTGCCTAATTACTGAGACGAGATACCAAAGATTAAGATGATTAGATAAAAATCATCATCAAAGATCATCATCAGAGACTGTTTACATTAAGAAAATGGACTCATGCTCTTCAGTAAAATGCTCATTACATCTTTCACAATTGACTACTTCATGGTACAAACAATTTAACACATTTGGCTAATGAACATTCATTCACTTTCTGTTCTTTTTCTGGTCTGAAGTTCTGTTTTTTCTATTAGCTATGACTCTTCATTCACATCTTCTGTCTCGTTATCATCACTTAACTGTAGGAAAGACATCACTTCCCTGGCAACTCCTCACTATGTATTACACACACGAGAAGTTATTTGAAGATAAGCATTTTCTCTTTGGTTGTGCAGTATTGTTTCTGATACAATGGGACACTGAGCGACCAGATAGCCTCACTTTCCTTTTTCAGCTCACAGGTAGATGAATAAAAAATGACAACAGTGAGGATTTGTGTCATTGACTGGGTGCCATATCACCTCGAGAGTGTCTACAAGTCCCTTTGCTAGCAACTTGGCACTTCTCATACAAAAATGTTTCCTAAAAAAAAAAAGAGTTCCAAAATTCCTACACTGAATGCCAAATTACCAGAAATGGAAGAGACAGCTTGCAACACCTGGATCGTGAAGAATCTAGGAATGATAGGCTGAGAAGTTTTGTTACAGGTGACAGGTGACTCACCTCCTTTGTTTGTCTAATTTTTCACTGCTTGCTAATCTCACTTGGGTCTGTTTCAGTCACTGGCTTTTCCACTCTTCTGGGTGGAGTATGGTGTAAATGCCCTTGTATTGCTGGATGGAGACAGAAACAGTGACAAGTGCACATGCACATCACATTCAGACAATAACACGATATTACAGACTAGAAGCTACTTGCTACTTCTTTAAATGTCTAATGGAGACATGGAAAATGAAACTGGTAATTTTTATCAAGATGTGAGACCTCAAATTGATCAGTTTGCTGCATTTAATTTAGAAGCTGAAAAAATGTAAAAGGTTTTCTTAGAACACTTTCTTTCTTTATGACATCCCACCCGCAACCACAAAAAAGTTGGTCCATGGCAGCGAGCTCTCAGACACTGTATGTCTTCAGATGAAGATCTAAGCAGTGATACAATCGAGTTTCTCTCCAATCCTTTTCTGCCTTTGTACTTTGGAACCGCAATAGATGCTCTGTTTTTATTGGAAGCTTCCTTACAGTACCAGTTCCTGACAATGAAACATATGATCAATACTGCTAACAACTATTGTTTAAAATGGGCTCCCAAATATCTCCTCATAGTCACTATCGTTAATCGTCTTCTGTTCCACTGGTTTGGATTTTCACTTCCCAAAGAAAATGTGTTTGCTTTGAGTGCAGCCTTAAAAATCGCAATATTGCAAACCCATTTGTTTAGTTTAGTGTTTTGTTTGCTTATTGCATCTTTAAGGACCATCCATGCCATTTCAAAGGAGTTTAATGTATTTATCATTAACTGTAGCATCTTCATTAGGTTCTTCATTATTTTGGAATGTACTTTATAAAGTGGGTGTAGCAACTTTCTATCAAAATTGAAAACACAGACTCAGGTATAGGCATTTTAAAATATGCAAATTTGAGTATGATCCCAAATCTACTGTCTGGACTCCCACTTTTTATTTTGTGCATGCTTAAAATTTATTAAAATGCATTTTAGGGTAAACGTGTGATGTTTCATCTGCCACATGCAGATCTAGGAAGTGTAAAATTGCATATCAGCTGACAGGGCAGAGTGGAAATTCACGGTGTGAGCAGCGACAGTGAAAATGAAAGTAAGATGAGAGTTACAGGGCTGTGCCCGTAAACCCATCCCTTCCTGTCTGCAAGCTGTAAGAGTCAGGCCAAATACAGAAGTGGAGTAATAACATAAAATCCCTTCATCATCCGTCTTCTTCAAAATTTCCATTTGTGCACGTCACAAAGTAAAGGAAGTAAAGGGAGAAAGCAATCAGACAACCAATAACCCGATTTTTGAGACAACGTGCACCCAG